CGACAAGCAACACTGCCCTGAGAGCTGCATGCACTTCCGCAGCATGTTTGTGCTTCCCCACTCTCAGAAAAGACTGTTTCACACGCTCTCCTCGCTGCTCCTCAACCCCCACTTCCCCAGTCGGCCGCCTCGCTCTCAGCTGGTGACCTTGTCTCTCGCTTGCTGGAGAGGAGGGGGGTTAATCTGCTCAAGAACTCAGATCCAGCCAGGCACAGGGGCTCCTGCCTGGATCCCGGCACTTTAGGAGACAGGCAGGAGGATCTCTTGAGGCCAGGAGTTCAAGACCAGCCTGGACAACATAATGAAACCCTGTCTCTACAAAAATAAAAATGTCAGCCAGGCGTGGCAGCACTTGCCTATAGTCCCAGCTACTCAGGAGGCTGGGCCAGGAGGATCATTTGAGCCCAGCAGGTTGAGGCTGCAGTGAGCTCTGATGGTGCCACTACACTCCAGCCTGGGCAACAGAGTGAGAGCCTGTCTTAAAAACCAAAAAACAAACCAGCAAAACTTGGGTCTCACTCAGACGCTGTCCTCCTGCTCCCTTGGGTAACGCATCCCAATTCCCATCGAAAGCCAGTTCCAATGTTTTCTAGAACCTCCTCACACCTTCTGGCTGTCTCTGGACCTTGCTTCCACAATCGCCCTTTCACTCCCCTGCTCTGTCCGTCTCTCCCTCTCTGCCTGATCATTCTGCATGGGCATGGAGACATTCTCTATCTCCCATTATTAAAACGCCTTCCCGGACAGGCACGGTGGCTCATGCCTGTAATTCTAGAGCTTTGGGAGGCCGAGTCTGGAGTGTTGCTTGAGGCCAGGAGTTTGAGACCAGCCTGGGCAACATGGCGGGACACTGTCTGTACACACACACACACACACACACACACAACATAGATGTATTACATGTATATGATTTTAAATAAACAAGTAAAATGCCTTCCTGAGCCCCAGGACCTCCCCACCTATCACCCCATTTTCCCACTTCCCCAGGCAGCATTATGCTTTGAAAGCTTTGTCTATCATTTACCCTCCTCCTCTTCTAAACCTCTTGCAGTTGACAACTCACCACTGGTTTTATCCCTCAGCCCTCCTTGGCCACTCCGCCTCAGCTATCTTTGCTGGTCCTTCCTACTCTGCTTAAGATCAGATGTTGGCTTTATCCTGGGAGCCTTCTCTCTCCTCTTCCTACAGTCTCTCTCCAGGTGACCTCTTCTAGGCACACTGTGTTATTTATCATTCACATGTGATTCACGCATTTAAGTCTTCGGTTCTGACTACTCCCTGAATAGCAGACCTGGCCCTTTACCTGTATGCTTGCTACCCCTGCTTAGATAGAGAATAGGCATTTCAAGGTCGGGCACGGTGGCTCACACCTGCAATCCCAGCGCTTTGGCACCGAGGTGGGCAGATCACCTGAGGTCAGGAGTTCAAGACCAGCCTGACTAACATGATGAAACCCCGTCTGTACTAAAAATACAAAACTTAGCCGGGTATAGTGGCGGGCGCCTGTAATCCCAGCTATTCAGAAGGCTGAGGCAAGAGCCTCATACAGCCTAGTGGGCCTATATAGTGAGTCTCAGGTGTATATTCTTCATTCATTCATTCGAGAAACTTCTGTGGAGCTTATTTTGTGCCCAGTGCTGTTCTAAGTGCTTTATAAATATAAGCCACTGAATCCTCATACCAGTCTATGAGGTAGGTACTATTATTATCCCCATATGACAGGTGAGGAAACTGAGGCCCAGAAAGTCAACCTACCCAGTGTTACAAAGCTGATAAGTGACTGTATTAGTCAGTTCTCACATTGCTATAAAGAACTACCTGAGACTGGGTAACTTGTAAAGAAAAGAGGTTTAATTGGCTCATGGTTCTGCGGGCTGTACAGGAAGCATGGCTTGGGAGGCCTCAGGAAACTTATAATCACGACAGAGGGTGAAGGGGAAGCAGGCATGTCTTACACAACTGGAGAAGGAGGAAGAGAGTGAAGGAGGAGGTGCTACATACTTTTAAACAACCAGATATCTCATGAGAACTCACTCGCTATCATGAGAACAGCAAGAGGGAAATCTGCCCCCATGATCCAGTCACCTCCCACCAGGCCCCTCCTCCAACACTGTGGATTACAATTCGACGGGAGATTTGGGTGGGGACACAGATCCACACCATTATCAGTGACAGAGCTGGAAGCTGGGCTCTCTCTTTCACTTTCCTGGCTCTGCTTTCCTCTGGGCTCACCTTGTGATGCGCTTGACGTTGTCTCTTAATTCTTAGCCCCCCTGGACTCGACACTCCTGGACTTAACAGAATTCAGCTTCCTCATTTTGGACTAGCCAAGGGCAGGGCTAGGAGTCATGACAGCTCTTCCTGCTCTAAGTTCTGGGGAGCACCACACCCAGCCCAGCTCTGGCCCCCTGGCCAACATCCCCCCATTTCCAGTGTTCTCCAAGGTTTCCTTGGGGCCTGGAGGAAGCATACCCACCTGACCACACCGGTTGGGAATTCCATTTATAGTTTCAGGAGTTGGGAGATTCCAGAAACCACAAGGAGAGATTTACAGCTGTGGGTTTCCTGGTGTGAGTCCAAGCCAGGAAGTAATCACGGCAGCAGGAAAGCCTCATTCATTTAGTCTCCTCTAATTCAGGAGGTGCAGTAACTCACCAAAAAGTCACTTTTTAATTCAGATGAGTTGGAAATTATGCCTTCTGATGAGGATTTGTAGGACAGATGCTGGGGGTGGACCTTGCTTTACAGAATTAACATGCTTTTGAAAACATAGGCAAGGGTCAGATTTTTGAAGCAGAATCTTTAAAATGCAATCAGAGAGTTCCACCAAGGTATCTTTACGTGAACTGTAATTTTTACTTATTGAATTTCCTTAAAGCATGGTCTTTCATATTTGGGGATAAATAGAATTTAATTTAGGAATCAATGCTTTTCTAAACTAATAGTTCAGAAAATTAATTATTTTGCCAATAGGCTAAGTCCAGCTTCTGGGTGGGAGATTTTGTATTAAAATACTGTTGTGCTCCTACTATCCTGGCATAAGGAGTGGTCCTTCTCATGAATATTCCAGCCGTCAGAAAAGGAACTGGCAGAAGACTAAGAAAGGGGTCAACACCCTTCTGAGTGGAAACAGCTTCAATTCCAGAAAGACTCAGTACTGGGCAGTAATAAAGAGGAAAGACTTGTCCCTTCAGAAAACAGATTGTATTGTAAAGTTACAGTGATTAAAACAGTGTGGTACTGATGCAGGAACACAGAGAAAGATCAGTGGGACAGAATGACAAGTTAGGAAGTGCACTCGTGTATTTGTGGAACTTGGAATATGGTATAAAAGTGTCCCTTAAAATCAGCAGAGGAAATACAAAAATTAGCCGGGTGTGGTGGTGCGTGCTTGTAGTCCCAGCTACTTAGGAAGCTGAGGTGGGAGGATCACCTGAGCCTGCGAGGTGGAGCTTGCAGTGAGCCCAGATGGAGCCACTGCACTCCAGCGTGGGTGACAGAGTGAGACTCAGTCTCAAAAAAAAAAAAAAAGTTTATTTTTTTTTAAAATGTAATCTATGCAGCAGACAGGATTAATATTCAGACCATACAAAGAATTCCTGCCAATTGATAAGGAAAAAGATTTTTAAAAACAAAAAGAAAATTGGCAAAAGATACAGACATTCAAAGAAGAAGAAATTGAAGTGGTTAATAAATGTGAAAAATGCTCAAGCTCACTAGTACTAAGAGAAATATGATAGGCTTTTGGGGAACCCTTTCTCCCATTAGCAGCCAGGCAGTTCTCTCTCCTCTGTCTTAAAAGAGTGGAAGTTCTACAAAACACTGAGAAAATAATGGTCCCCCAACCCCAGCCAAAGCCCACTCTACAGCTGGCTCTTCTTACTAGATGGGGGAAAAATGCTTTAAATATAAACAATTTAGCCTCTAATCCCAGCACTTGGGGAGGCTGATGTGGGAGGATTTCTTGATCCCGGGAGTTTGAGACCAGCCTGAGCAACATAGCAAGACCCCCATTTCTACAAAAACGAAAATACAAAAAATTGGCCTGGCATAGTGGCATGCACCTGTAGTCCCAGCTACTTAGGAGGCTGAGATGGAAGGATCACTTAAGCCCAGGAGGTTGAGGCTGCAGTGAGCTATGATCATGCCAGCCTAGGCAACAGGCTAAAAACAAAAAAATCCATGAAGTTGATTTCATGACTTACTAAGACTTGTGGGCTAAATCTGCCCCAATGCCTGTTTTTGTAAATAAAGTTGTATTGGAATACAGCCATGCTCACTCATTTCTGTATTGTCTGCAGCTCCTCTATTGTTACAACAGCAGAGTTGAATCGTTCCAACAGAGACCATGTGGCCCTCAGAACCTGAAATATTTGCTTCTCTGGCCCTTTACAGAGAGTTCACTAACCTATACACAGATCTGACTCTGCATCTCCTTTGCTTCAATTTTTTTCAGAGCTCCCCTTTGCCTTCTGGCCCAAATTCAAGCCCCTTAGTCTGACTTAGAAAACCACTAACCTCTGAGCCAGAAGTGGTGGCTCATGCCTATAATCCCAGCACTTTGGGAGGCTGAGGCAGGAGGATCACTTGAGCTCAGGAGTTTGAGACCAACCTGGACAATATAGTGAGACCCCATCCTTACACAAAGTTTTTAAAATTAGCCAGGCATTGTGGTGCACGGCTATAGTCCCAGCTACTCAGGCAGTTGGGGTGGGAGGATTGCTTGAGCCCAAGAGTTGGAGGCTGCAGTGAGCTATGATCGTGCCGCTGCACTCCAGCCTGGCAACAGAGCAAGACCCTGTCTTAAAAACAAAAAGAAGGAAAGAAAAGAGAACTACCTCATCTGGCCTCCCAAGCTCTGTTCCTGCTGACCTCCCTTACCCAGGGGTCCCTGTTCTCCACAGTGATCATAGGCAGGGAGGCAGCAGAGAGGCTGTGGGTGTGTGGGGACAAAACCCTTCCTTACTTCCTGACGCTCTTCTCTGCTCTCTGCCCCGCAGGCCTCCTGGGAATGGTCGCCCACATGATGTACACACAAGTGTTCCAGGTCACTGTGAGCCTCGGCCCTGAAGACTGGAGACCCCATTCCTGGGATTATGGGTGGTCCTTCTGGTAAGTGGCTTTGACCTTCAGGACAAGAGCAGCTTCGGGCACCAGAGGCCCAAGGCATGCTGGGACTTCAGCAGCTCAGCCCAGTGGGGTGGGGTGGTGGGAGAAATGGGGAGAGTTGGAGGGACTGCAGTCCAAAGGCACTTTGAGACCCCAGGGCAGAGACTGGCAAACTAGGGCCTGTGGGTCAAATCTGGCCCACCACCTGTTTATATGCAGCCCTCAAGCTAAGGATAGCTTTTGGATTTTGAAATGCTAAGAAAATAAATCAAAGGAAGAGGAATGCTGTTTTGTGACATGTGAAAATTACATGAAATTCAAATTTCAATGTCCATAAATAAGGTTTTCTTGGAACACAGCTACTGTCATTGTTTTGTATTATCCATGGCTGCTTTAACACTGAGATGGCAGCACTGGGCGGTGGTGACAGAGACTGAATGGCTCACAAAGTCAAAAATACTTACTCTCTGGCCCTCTGCCTACCCCTGCCTAAGAGGCATGCTATGGAAGGTTGGAGATGGAAGCTGGCAAGACCTCAAGTTAGGTGAGCTGTGGAGGGTTCTGGGTGGTCCTATGGGGTAGGTGGACTCCAGTGAGAGGCTCTGAATACAGGGAACAGGTCAGCACCTCAAAGCGGGGTGTGCGTATGAAAGGCGTGATTAGTCAGGGTTCTTTTGCTTACCAGTGATAGAATCCCCAGCTTAAGTGAACAAGGGGTATTCATTTGTTTGTGTAACTGGAAAGTCCAGGTGGAACAGCTAAAGTGCTCTGGGTTGTGACAGAAAAACCTACTCACATCAGTCTAAGTAAGGAGATATCATACACTGGTTCATGGAAAGGACAAGCACAGCTATGGTGTGGACTTCAGGACATGTTTGATCCAGAGTCACTGAGGTCAGAAGGGCTGAGTTCTCTTCCTCTGTGTAGTCATCTGAGCTCGGCACCCTCCACATGTTTACTTTGTTGCTGGGCTGGCTTCCCTGTTGGGGAGAGCTCTTCCTAAGGCTGGGTAAATCCTCCTTCCCTTGTAGGAGAGAAAGGGCTTGTTCTCCAATACTGACTAGAGTCCCAAACTTCCCTCTGGTGGGCTTAGGTCATGTTCTCTCTCCTTAATCTTTGCCACAGCTGGGGGAATGTCATGAGCTTATTCCCTTAGCTTGACCGAGCCCACCTCTGGAGCTAAGAATGAGTCAAAACCTCTCAAATGGTGAGTGGATGGAATAGATGCTGTGTGAGCTACCACAAAGTCTGCTTCAGGCACAGCTGGATCCAGGAGACCAGATTTCATCTGGAACCCAGTCATGCCCTCTCCTTATCTTGTCTCTCTCTTGTCTCTCTTCCCTTTGAATTAGTGTTGGCTTCATTCTCAAACAGCTTTTCCCCCAATGCTAGCAAAGATGCTAGCAAAGATGATCACAACGCACAGACCAGGCTTCCTTTTTTTTTTTTGGACAGAGTCTCTGCTCTGTCACCCAGGCTGGAGTGGCAGACTTCCATCTTAAAAATGTAGCAATACCAGCGAGAGATGGGGTTTCTTTCCCATATTTCCAGCTAAAATCCTGGTTATGACTTTCATTGGCTTAGCTTAAGTCATGTGACTAAACCTGAACCAATGATTTAGACTCTGGGGGAGACTGGAATGACCTGAGTCACATGGTCCAGAGAGTGGCATTAGCTTCACCCAAACCCTTGGACAGAAAGAGAAGGAGGTGAAGTCTCTTCAGGCTGGAAAGACAGAGACCACAATTATCCACTACACAGGGCATCCAGGTCTGGCGCTGGTAGTTGGAGAGCATTTATCCGTTCAGTCATTTAATACATATTCACTGAGTACATCCTCTAGGACTGCTGTTCTTCTCGGTGATGGGGATGCCGCAGTGCTGAGACAGCGTTGCAACAGGGATTGAGAGGTGTGAACCAGCCGTATCTGAACTGTGCTGTGATGTAGATGTGTGTGGCGAGGGGAGTTCACAGGCAGCTGCGGGAGCACAGAGGAAGGGCATTGACTGACACAGCTTTGGGTGGGGCGGGTCTCCAGGAAGAATTTCGAAGGCAAAACAGGAGAGAATCGCTTGCCAGGCAGAGGGCGTAGCAGGTCCAAGGACCTGGAGGTGAGAGAGCATCTCAGCATGGAGCAGGAGGGACTATGATTATAATTTTTAAAAGATCCTATTCCAGTTCAGTGATCACCCCAACTCCATCTCCACTCTCTGCTCAACTCCATCCTTTTAAAACCAAAAGCATTTGCCTTGAAGGGACCTTGGCCCATGAACCCTGGCCCCAATCCCTTTAAGTAGAACAATCCCAGGGAAGCCAGATGAGGCTCTGACCTCCCTTTACCCAACCTTTCCTCCTGCAACTGTTCCTCCCTGAGACCTTGACCTTGGAAGTTCATCTCCTTGAGCTAGAGAAGGGCACAAAGGAAGGGAACGAACATTGGTGAGTGTTGACCATGTGTGTAATAATTTCTTAGATTTACTGAGCGCTGATGTGCTGCGAATCAGGTAGGTATTTCATGGAGGCACAGGGAACTTAAGTAACCTGCCCGAGGTCATCCAGCTGTGAAGGGTAGGGCTGGGATTCAAACCCAGGCAGTCGGGCTCCACAGCCATACTGGAAGCCTCTCTGAGAAGATGGGTGGGTGATAATAAGAGAGTTCATTGATGTGCTTTCCATCATGTTCCACACATGGTGTGTGCTTAGTCAACACCAGCTCTTATATTGCTGCTCCTGGTATGAAATTTAACACATGCAATATCATGCTAGTGATATGAAATTTAACATGAGCAATATCATGCTACTGATATGAAATTTAGCACATGCAGTAACCTCGTGTTGCATATGCAGATGCTGAGAGTCAGAAAGGTTGAATCCCTTGCCCTGGTGGGAACCGGTTCCTGCCCCTCAGTCCCCCTTTCCAGAAGGCCCTGGCTCTCTCCCCTTGTGCTCAGTGTCTCAAGTCAAGCCTGCTGGTGTCAGCCAGAGGAACACTCTTTCCCTGGAAGAAAGGGCCTTCTGCCCTGCTCCTCTGCTCCTTCCTTAGGGGCTGGCCTCCCAAGGGGCACCAAATTCTCATTGGACTTATTAAAGGCCGAGGCCCCGTGTGCAGCCCCTTTTAGGGTGGATCCATTTCTCCCTGTCACTGAGACCTGTGAGATGGATCAGCCCATTTTTTCGTCCCTCACATCTGGGGCCTCACCAGGGCTGCAGCATATCATCTCTCTTGTTTAATATGTGTGAGGCCGTTTGTCAAAATTCTGGCCCGGGAGCCTCCCGTGCTCCCTCCCCTGGTACTGGAGAGGAGAACAGCTCCAAGAAGAGATGGCACGGGCCTCTGTCTTCCTGCCCAGCAGGGAAGAACAAGCTGCAGGGGCTCTGGAAGCTGGAGGGGTTTTGAGGTGCTCAAAGCCTGTTGAGTGCCAGCTTCTTAGAGGGACACCTTTGTAAGAAGTAGGCCGGGCACGGTGGCTCACGCCTGTAATCCCAGCACTTTGGGAGGCCGAGACGGGCGGATCACGAGGTCAGGAGATCAAGATCATCCTGGCTAACACAGTGAAACCCCGTCTCTACTAAAAATACAAAAAAAAAAAAAAAAAAAAAATTAGCCGGGCGCAGTGGCAGGCGCCTGTAGTCCCAGCTACTCGGGAGGCTGAGGCAGGAGAATGGTGTGAACCTGGAGGGTGGAACTTGCAGTGAGTGGAGATCGTGCCACTGCACTCCAGCCTAAGGGACAGAGCGGCACTCCGTCTCAAAAAAAAAAAAAAGAAGTAGAAAGTCCCCATAGTTAAGAGTCTGACAGCCTGGGGTTCAAATCTCACCCCGATGCACACCGCTGGGCCACCATGGCAGCATGGAGGGGCGGTCGACAGTGTGGCCCCTGGAATCAGACAGTTTGGGTTTAGATCCTGCCTCTGCCCCTCATCAGCTGTGGACCTTGGCCAAGTCACTTACTTCCTCTGCACCTCTGTGTCTGGTGGAAAATTTGGGCTGGAAAATGGGACAGCCCGAATTTCCACCTCATGGGGGTCTCTTGAGTTGTGTTCATTTCTCTATTGAGGTGTATACATCACCCCCAAATCTAGTAAAAATGAGTTATTATGTAGTAGTAATAGTAACTAGTAAAAATGCGTTGTTATTTGTTCGTACGTTTGGTGGTGGACAGGGCTCAGTTGGGCGGTGCTTGCTGGGGTCTTCCCTGAAGCTTCAGTTGGATGTCAGCTGAAGCTGAGGTCATCTGGGTATGGCTGGGGTAGACCTCCAAGGTGGCACCTCACGACGCTGGCAGCTGGTGCCAGCTGGCGGTGGCTGGTGGCCGGAGGGGCTTCACACAGTGTGGAGGCTGGGTACCTGGAGAGACTATCTCAAGAGTGAGTGTTCCAGGAGACCCAGGTAGAAGCCATGGGATCTGCATGAGCCAACCTCAGAAGTCACACAGTGTCACTCCTGCTGCATTCTGTTGGTTAAGAGCAAGTGACAGGGCCAACTTCAAGGGGAGGTGTGAACCATGGGAGGTGTGGCTCCCTGGAGGCCAGCTTTGGAGACAGTAACCAACACGAGGGGCAAGTGAATCAACGCATGTGGAGCACTCAGCCCAGTGTGCTCGGTGAGCACAAGTCCTCCTGCCCACTCCTCCTTTTGGCGCCGTGTCTCAGCTCTCTCTACCCGTGACAATGTCAGGTCAGGACCCTGATGGGCGCCCAAGCAGCTGCTTGGCTTAAGGGGGCAGGGACCAAGTGGATCAGATTCAGGTTGGGGCCGGGCAAAGTGGCTCACCTGTAATCCCAGCACCTTGGGAGGCCAAGGTGGAAGAGGGGCCGGGCAAAGTAGTTCACCTGTAATTCCACACCTTGGGAGGCCAAGGTGGGAGAATCACCAGAGGCCAGGAATTCAAGACCAGCCTGGGCAACATAGCCAGACCCAATCTCTAAAAAAATAAAAAATAAAAAAAATTAGCTGGATGTGGTGGTGCGCACCTCTAGTCCCGGCTACTCAGGAGGGTAAAG